GGGACAGCATGTCCGGTAAGTCAAGTAAGTCAGGAAGCACTGCTGGTGTTTCGACTATCGTTTCCGAGGGAAGTGGAAACTAGGCCCTGTTTGGCCAATTGGGTGCGACCAATGATAATATGCAGGTGTGCACCTGTCGAAGTCTTCTCTGGTGCCCGGTGGACTAGAGGGAAGGGAGGAAAGGCGTACACAACTAAGTGGGTCCGCGGGGTAGCAAAGCGACCCTGGCCCAGGCTCCTGGAGTCAGCAGGAGTGTTACGTACGTCGGGAGCTTGTTGTTCCGGGGTGCGGCAAACGGTCTAATCTTGGACCGTCCACAGCTGAAACAGCTTGGAGGCTACCCACTGGGGTATCAGCCACTCCGAGGTTGGCCAGTGACGACCACCAGGGCAGGGCTTCCTTCACTTGGTCCGAGATCAAAACCCGCCTATCTAGTTTCCATAGGAGAGCTCGGCGTTATAACAAGCTTATACCGGGCGGCTGCGTAGGCGGCCCGGGGAACGACCCTTCAAACGAGGTCATCATTCCAATGATCCGCATTAGTTCACAGAGGGACACCGAGGGAACGCTGACTAGGCATTGGCTAGGCTGCTTAGCGCTAAGCAATACGCTTGAAATAGCTAAGCCAAACTTACCTCTGTGTCAAAACTTCATGCCCAGGGACACCAACTGTGCGTTGGGTCGAGGTGGAATTTGTCGATTTACTAACAAGCCCAACTGGTGAAGTAAATCCTGTGTTAGCCTGACGGGTTGTTGGTAACCAGTAGTCTGGGTACGGATTGAGGTGTACCGACATCTGGTGAAACAGCAGCACTACCTGTTTCATCACTCTGGTGAACACGTAGGGCGCTGTGCCTAACCCGAACGGGGCGGCACCGAAATTCGAATACTTGGCCCAGCTGGGCGATTCGAAGGATATGGCAACTCGCTAGGTGCATCGGTACGTGCAGGTAGGCCCCGCTTAAGTCTAGCGGGGCTAGCCAGTCAAAACGGTGGATGGAGAGAAGAACCCTGAATGGTGTCTTAATGTGGAACTGATCGAGGAGCACATACTGATTCAGTCTGCCTAGGTCCAAAACTGGACGCCTGCCACTTGTAGATTTGGTACTACGAACACATTTGGGTAGAAGTCTGGACTTAGTTCCAGCTGATGTACCCTGTGTATGGAGTCTTTCCCCAGCAAACTGCTTCTGCCTTGCGGGAGTCCCCTGGCAGTGCCCAACAGGGGAGACACTGACGGGGGGAAATGGAGATTTCAGCGATATCCCGTAAACAGATGTCACCACCTGGAAAGGTCCAGGTATCGGTCACCCGCCGTCTCCAAACCGGACTACACCGGCGCAATCTGTGTACGACAGGGATATGTGTTCGGCAGTTGCGAGGGGGGATGCTCCCTTCCCCCATGAGGTGACTTCCCCAAGGCCTGACGTAGTCACCGAGTTGTGACCTGGCCACTCACTGAACACGTGCCTGTTCCCCCCCGAGACTGTACCCACCATTCCCTGAACAAAGAGGGTGAAGGATGTCCAGTCTGCGTCACTGAGGTGGGGACGTACCCCGGCTTAGCTTGTCGGTGAAAACATGTGCATCTAAGGCCGTGTCTCGTAGCACAGTAGTGGCCCTGGCCAAGCGAGCCAGGCAACACTAGGGGGTGTCGCATGTAGATGTGCGGCCCACCAGTAAAAATGTTGCCTGGTCTAGGAGGCTGGTGCGTTCTGCCTCCAAGGTCACCAGAGTGCTGGGCACGCATAATGATGTGCTCAAGCAACTCTACCCTCAGGGCTGGATGGGTCGTCTTCAATTGGTAAAGACACCCATGGAACGCGGCTATCCCCCTTTGCCCGGTTTGCCCAATTCGTGGTACTGGGGTCTGGGGAAGGAGCCTTGGAATCCGGTTGGGGGCGTTTTGGTCTCATCCCACGCTACGGGGTCTGATCCTGAAACACACCGACCGGGTAGCGTTTGGTCCAGTGGGAAGTGTTGCCTAATGTTATCCCCACCCGGGGGCCTTAAGCATTACATCCTCAGTGACTGACCAACGCCGCCCATCAACACCGTTTGCATGCTCTGCGTCCCACTCCGCACTCAGACGGACAGGAAGAGACAAGCCGACGGGGTTGCTTTGGATCCCGATGCCCGTGATCCCATAAGTGTTGAAGCAACCTTAGGTGGTCGCTTTAGGATCAAGGGTGGGGGTATATACATCGTATCCCTGGGATCGATGATACTCCGCCTCACCCCGAAGCGTGGCTCACCGAGTCATACAGATGGAAGTCTCTGAGGGACCGCCCGGAGTACCGGCTGTATCCGCCGCGAGCGAACTGCGTCTCCTTTCACTTTAAATATGTGAGAGGAAGCGTGTTCGA